GAACTCATGACCTTGCGCTTGTCAGGCAGGCGCTTTTGCCGCTGAGCTAAATCTCCAGCCCCTATTGCGGCATCTTTTGCTTAAGGAAATTTCAGGTTTTTATATTTTTCTTTCTGTAGTCAATATCAATCTCTTCCTGTATGGCTTCCAAGTGTTTGGCCTTACTTTAAAAACTTTCTCACTGCCAGGCTTGAAGGCAAATGCCTGTAATCCCAGCACTCAGGAGGCTAAGGTAGGAGAATCAAGAGCTCAAGGCAATCTGGGCTACTCAGCAAGTTTAAGGCCACTAGGCTGAACTATATAGAAAGACTGTGTCTCAACAACCAACCAAACAAAACTGCCTTTCTCACTTGAGGATCATAAAACATCTATCCATATTTTCCACTAGTAGAGTTTTCTTATTTTTAAACCTCAGCAGCATCCAGAATTTTATTGGTGCAAGGACTGTGGTGGGACCGGCCTCACTGTTTCCACCAAGGGACTAGCCAGACAGTTGTCCTGCTCATTTTTACATACTCCATTACTTATCCTCCCTCTCTAGATTCAAAAATCCGATTTAACTATATAGTAGGAGGGATATAAGAGTATGAGCGGAGCCACAGGGCTGTTTCAAATTCTAGCCCAAGATCTAGGGTAAGTTACCTAACTTTCCTGTATCTCAGCTTCCGTGTCTAAAAAATGGGAATAATAATAGTGCTATCTGCACAGGCTTATGGGATGATTGTTATAGGTAAAGGGTACAGAAAGATACAATGGTGGCCAGGCACAGTGGTACGTACCTGTAATCCCAGCACTCTGGGAGGCTGAGGTAGAAGGTTTATAAGTTTGAGTCCAACCTGGGCAATTTAGCAAAACTTTGCCTCAAAATAAAAAATAAAAATGGGAATGTAGCTCAGTGTGAAGGCCTAGGCTCAACCCCAGCACAGGAAAAACAAAGGCAACCGTAGGCTGTCCAAAGGAGGCTCACCTTAGAGGTAAAGACACACCCAGGCTGAAAGTGGAAGGATGGAGAAGATATCCCATGCAAGGGAAACTGCTATGGTTAAAACATGCCCCTCAAGGTCCCTGTGTTGGAAACTTAGTCTCAACACAGTTATGAGGTGGACCCTTTGGAACTCTTTCGATCACACAGGCACTACCTCATGAATGGATGAATATGCTTATCGTGGGAGTCGGTAGTTACCTCAAGAGTGGGTTTGTTGTGAAAATGAGTTTGGCCCTCTTTCCTCTCTCTCACACACATTCTCTCTTGCCAAGTGATGCCTTCTTCCATGTTATAATACAGCAAAAAGACCTGAACAGATGTAACCACTCGCTCCTGGACTTCTCAGCCTCCAGAACCTTGAGCCAAATACACATCTGTTCACTGTAACCACCTGTCCTTGAATTCCCTCACAGCAGCACAAAACAGACTGAGATAGCAGCCAAGTATGGCCAGGGGTGACCATAGCCTTAGTCAAAATCTGCCACAAGAGATGAAGGACTTTATGTAAGGATAAAAGGCACATTCACCAGGAAGGTATCATGATTATAAACACGCATGCACCTAACAGGACAAGACCCAGATATGTGAGCAAACATGAGCAGAACTGAAGGCAGAAATAGTAACAACATGAAAGTACAAGATTTCAGTATAAAACTTTCAGGAGTAATTTGAACAGACAGAAGATCAACAAGGACGCAGAGGAACAGAACAACACTCAGACCAACTGGACCGAACACCCAGGTGCAGAACTCCGCACCCCGCAGCCACAGGGCACACCCTTCTCAAGCACAAAGAGAACATGCTCCAGGGCAGAGCCTGTTAGATTTCCTGTAAAGGGTGTAGGACGCTATCCACACCTGGGAACTGTCCGCTGGTGATCACCATCATCACATTGTACTGTATTACTGTTCTGTGAATGAGTTCTGTCACTCAGCAGACATCTATTACCTGCCCCCACGTGCCAGGAGCCAGCAGTGACCCGCAGTGATATGGCAGCTTCTCCCGACCTGTGCTTAGACTGTGTTCTTGTTATTTTGAGTACTTTTACTGATATCTATGTTTTCTTCCATTATATTTTAAAAGAGGCTAACGTGTGTGTGTGTAGAAATCCTATACATTTTCATTTTAAATATTTATTACTGGTCATCTTAGTATTTAAAAAAATTGTTCCAATTAGTTTTTGCAGCTGGCAATCTTGTTCTACTTTTCCCTCCAAATCATTAACCTTACTCTTATCAAATTTTGATAAATTTGCCTTTTTTTTTTGGCCAGGAATTTGTTCATACTAAAGCCATGCTCTACCACTCCTCCAGCTTCTCTTTTATAACTTGTTTTTTTCAAAATTTGTACTGGTTTGTATTTCTACAGCAGGGTTAAAGAATTAGGATAATTCTTTATCTCTACATACATGCACACATAATCACACGATGCAATATCCATCTCTTTGTATTAAGCAAGATCTACAATCTGGGCCATCAGCCTTTTAGGCATTTTAAAAGCATTTAGGAATATTTACATGATTTTTAATCTTCCCTACTATTAGTTTGTTCAATTATATCCATAGTTTTTCTAATATTAAATCTATATTCCTGTAACATATGCCCATTTGCTGTCATATATTCATGTTTAAAGTACAGTGCTGCATTTTACTTATTATCATTTTATGAATTTTGCACCAATATTCATACATGAGAGGTTTTTACAATATTTTGTGTATGTGTGTATGTTTGTGTGTGTGAGTGTGCTTTGCCAAGCTTAGTCTCAATGTGGCATTGGATTCAGTAGAATAACACTGGAATTGTAGAAATTAGAAGCTGTCTAAATTTGGGGGTTTGCAGAAGAAGCTTTTATGAAAA